GCATGTTAATATATTCTTAATATTGCCTGTTTTTTTTTTGTTGCATTTTATGTGGCATTATTTCAATTTGTAACTAATTATTGCACACAAAGTCAAACAGAAACCGAAACAGAAACAAATATACAGATATAATATGTACCTATATACATACAGATAAATATATATATATATATATCATATATATATAGCTGACAATTTATTGCAGTGAAACGCATGAGGCTAAGGGGGTGTGGCGAGGGGTTTGCTGGCTGTCCAACCGGGCGTATGAGTAACAAAAGCTATTAAAAATTATAGTCGCCTATTTAGCGAACGTTTGCTTGGCTGCACGGTGTGGGGAGGGGAGCGCCAAGTGCTGCGGGGGGGCAGCTGCCACTGCTGCCTACTGTTAGGCGCATCAAAGGCGACCCACAAAACAGTTGGATACCCTGCCAAAACTCAGGCATGCACACTAAAGACAGTCAGTCCGCCAGCCAGCCAATTGCGCACATCCGGCTTAACTTATCAAGAGATACGGTGCCCACTAGCTATATAGAACTATATACGATGCATCATAAAATTGGCATTGTACAACAATTTCGATCAAAGATAGCGGATCACAGTAACATGACAAATACAGTTAATAATTATGGAAAAGCTTTACAAAATATATTTTTGAAAATGCAGTTTTCACTTTTCCTTACTAGTGTTCAGTTTCCGAAGTTTCACTCCAAGTGTTCAACGCGTCGTATGCTTTATATTTAATTATTATATATTTCATACAAAATTGCTGTCTAACTATTATTGTTAGCAATTATTATTAATCTTTCTTAAAATTCATAATCAATTTATTAATATAAATTGGGTTTTCACTTTTTGATCAATCTTTGTTAGAGTATTTATGATTCGTTGATTAGATAACGTTTCATTGTGTGAATAATTTTGTTTTTTTTTTATGGATTTCGTTAGTTTTCAATGATTAATTTTTATTTGCATATGCATACTGCACATACACACATGCATAAGTGTCAAGCTATTAACAATTACTTGTCGTTTGTTGTTGTTGTTGCATTTGTTGCATTTGTTGCTATTCTTTACATAACACGTTTTTGCATTTCATTAGCAGCAAAATTTTCAGTTTAGCTGCGACGCCAACTGCAAATGCGACTGCGACTGCAGCAGCGAAAACGCCAAATAACAAAATAGCTTCGAAAACGCCACCTGTTTGTGTGTGCGTGAATGTGTGTGTGCGTGTGCGTGTGCGAGTGTGTTTCGCACTGGGAACAGCTTAGCAGGCGCACAGCCAACGCTGCTGGCTGCTGCGTCCTCTGACAGTGTGTGGGCTGTTTACATTTTGGTACGCTTCGTGCGTCGACAGCGGCATCGGCATCGACGTCGCTGCACAATTTCAATAATTCTGGCGGTGTCATTGTTTAACTATTGTTGTTACTGCTGCTGGTGCTGCTGTTGGTGCTGATTTTAACGCTCATTTTATTCCTTTATTAATTCACTATTAGAAGCCGAAAGCGACAGCGACAACAACACCGGCGACATAGAACTTTTTTATATTTTTGTGCTTTTGTTTTTGTTGTGTGTGCTTTGTGCTTGTCGTTGCTGCTGCTGCTGCTGCCTTAGTAGTTGTAGTTGCCTCTGTCGTTGCTGCTGATTGTTGTTATTGCGCGTCGTCCGCTGCTTTTGACCAATCAGCGTGGCGATCACGACATCGTCAGCGTATGGCAAAGCAATACGACGTGATGTTGAGGCTAAAAATAGATTTTGTACATTCACTTGGCGAAGCCGAACTCGCAGTCGTTGTCGGCGTCGTGCCAAACGACGGCCTTGGAACACTGGAAACGAAATGTGTTGCTCTGCCGCCGGTGTCAGACTGAGCGCCTAGCTGCAGCAGTGCCAATTTCTCCACCTTCATCTCTCTCTCTCCCTCTCTTTCTGTTTCTCTCGCGTAAGTTTGTGCAATGGACGCAATGTTAAAAGCGCAGCATTCATGAAAATGAAAATGAAAATGAAAAAATCATTATTGTTGTTCCTAGTGTTGCTGTTACTCTTCTTTTAAGATTAAATGTAAATTTGACATATGTATGTATGCATGTGTGTATGCTTCATTTTATTTTTTTTAAATATTTGTTTAACAAATTCGCCACTTTAAAATAATTTTATAAATTAACTAACATATGACAATTTGCGCATATCCATGCGCAGCTAACGCCGACGCAACTACTATCATGGCAATGCTAATGTAACTTTTTTATTGCTCACACACACCGAAGTGTGTATGCACTTACATGCGCAAGAATTGCAAAGACTGTTTCCATTAATTTTGCTATAAACACCTACATGCATATTGGTGTGTATATATAGATAGATGCAGAAAAATATATATGTGGGGGATCAATATGAATGCAACTATTATATTACAGTGAAGTTTGCTGTTGTTCAGTGTTACGAACGTTGTGACTTAGTTGAAGGTTCTGTCGCAATGCGTTTAACGACTGCCCGTCGTCGCGTGAGTGGGACACACAAGTGAAACAATGAGAAAGAAACGGCAAAACAGAAACCGAAACAGTCGGTTGTCTATCGTCGCCACTGTTGTCGTTGTTGCTCTTTTCGCTCTCCAGTCACGAGCGCGCTTTGTTATTGTTTCATTTTTGCTGTTCCCACTCGTTTTGTTGTTGTTTTGTTATTCTTCTGTTTTGTGTTTGTTGCCGTTGCCGGCTCTTCGCCGGCTGCTCCCCTGAAAACATAAGCACACTTAACATGCGTATGTAGTAGTGTGCGTGCATGCGTGTGTGTGTATGTGTGTATATTTATTTACTCACAATTTTAGCTCTTTGCTGCGCTTTGAGAAATAAATCAAAACATTTGATTGATTGTCGTCGACTGCCCCCAACATTTTACTAACTGCTGTATATTATGTATATGTGTGTATGTGAGCGCTTTAGTGAGTTCTTATTGCTTTTGTCGATGCGCACCCTTCTCAGTCGTAGCACGTTGGCAGCGGCCCACGAACAGTCTCGTCGTCGATGTCGCAGTCCCTGCGTGTGCCGTTTTGCCAACCAGCTGATAAGCGGCTGCGTCTTATCAAAGGTTGGCGACAATTTCGACGTTGACGCTGATTTCCCTTGTTCCTCACATGTATGCACCGAACACTATACACATTATGTGCAAATGTATTCAACGGACAGAGGCAGACGTTCCAGCCCCCAAATAAAGTTAATCATTAAGTCGATCTGTCCATCTACGTGTCGATCTCAAAGATAACTCTGCGTGCTTTCGCGTCCAAGGAAAGTTCCCACGTCAACGGGCCAAGACTTACATAGATACACTCACTAAAAATGGCTTCCAAGCACGAAGCAGACGAAGTGCGAACGAAAATTGTCATATTTTCAATATATATACATACATATATATACATACATGCATACATACGTTGTTGCATACATACATACATATGTACATAGCGAGTTAAATTCAACGAGAGTACACAGAGCATACGTTTGCCAAAAACCAAAAGCAAATACGAGTGGTGCGAGCGAAATTTAAGTACTGCTATCTCATTTTGCCGTACTGGTCGTATCTCTCTCTCTTTCTCTCTCTCTGTCTCTCAAACGAAGCTCTCTAAAATTTTGTGTAAGTTCTTGTTGTTGAAGATATCCCATCTGTATATTCTATGGCTCGTGAACTTGAGTGTTTCTCCAAGTTCAATTTCAACAACAACAATAACAAGAACCTTATAAGATTCTACATATATTAATAGGGAACTCTTGGTTTTCTTCGATTGCTGCTATTTGCATGTCAGAATCAGCTTTGTATGGCAACCGAGTTCTACTGGGACGTTCGTTCGACCGGGCAAACGCATACTCGCGCATAATTATGTAACTGCAGTAAAGCTTGCCTCCCATTGGCGTTGCGGTAATGTAACTGTAAGCCGGCTGCGCATGCCCCTTTTCGATTTTTTTTAACGAAATGTACATATTTACTTTCAAGGTCACCGTTGCCGTCGCCGTCGCCGCGCTGTGGACGCGTCGCAGTCGCTGCCGCTGCATTTGAAATGCGTATGCAGCGTGGCGCTTGTTTCAATGTCAAATCGTTTCAGCCGAAAAGTTACACTGACACGAAACTCAACATTTATGCAGCGAAATCATATGTTCATATTTTTCTACTTTTTATGTTTTAGAGCTCAGAAAATGGATATAATTTTAATAAAATTTCTCATATTAGATTAAAAATTATATTTCTGCATAGTGAGAACTTTAACATTTTTACAAATTGCACTTTTGAACCACTGTGTTGTTAATAATTGTACTAAAAAGTAATTTTATTTTTGTATGTTATACGATTGTACATCCATGTATGTGCATATCTACTTGACAAGTATGTACATACATAGACATATAAATATGTACATATATATACACATATGTACGTATGTACAGTAGATTCCAATAGTTTTTGATCCAATATAAGCCCAACAACCCGGCAACATTTTAAAACTTTTTATTTCATTTTGATTCTGTTTTATTTTTTTTTTGCTGTTTATTTTATACTTTTTGGGTAAATTTCAATTCCCACTATAGCATTTGAGGCTTGGCCAGTGGCGTCGTCGCTACGCTGGTTGTGGGGCCTGTCCAGCCCACGCAGCTGTTGTTGGCAGCAACACCGTCACTGGGTCGATGTTTGCGGGCTGCGTTTGTTTATTTGTTTGCCGTGCCGTTGGCTGTTTCGTTTCAGTGTTCCGCCTCAGCAGTCGGTCGAACTGTCGCCTCGTCTCAGTTTAGTGCTTTGCGTGTACCAGACTTGAACGCAACGCCGCCCGCTGCCTTTACAGCACGTCGCCCACCACCAACCAGCCCAAGCTATATAAGAAACCCGAACATACAAACGAACGTGCGAGCGGTCGGATAGCCGACGAGATTCTTATTAGATTTTTGTATAGTGGCGGCTATTGTTGTTGCTCCGAGCTTAGAATGAACGCCAGCAGCAAAGGCAAAGGCAACGGCAACGGCAATAATAATAACAAAAACATAACAAAAACAACAGCAAAATCAACAACAACAAACGGGCGGCCGCGCCTTTGCATTTGACTTTAGTTCGTTTTGCAGTCGTCGACGTCGTCGTCGTCTCTCGTTTCGTTTCGTTTTGTTCTTTTGCCTCTCGCATTAGAACGCGCGCTGCCACAGTCGCTGCTGGCGTCGCTGCCACAGTGCCCGTCGACGGTCTTATTGGGTTTAAGCGAATTTCAAATTCGCCCGAACTTTTATTCAACGTGTTGGTTTCGTCGCGTGAGCAACTCTGAAACTGAAAAGAAGAAAGAAAAATATCTATCTATCTATAAAAAAAAAAAACACAAAAGAAGCAAAAACATTTACTTAGAGTCCCCGAAAATAAAAACACTGAATATACCAATACCAACAACTACCCGTAACCGTAACCGTAACCGTACCCGTAACCGTGACAGTTAACCGTTAACCGTTAGTCGTAATCGTAACCATAACCGTAACCGTAATCGTAGTCGTAGCTATAACCCTCATTCGCGTCTATATCGTGCGTTCCGTTGGTGTTTCGAAAATATATTTAATTTTTTTTTTTTTGGATTCGACTTCCAGCAGCTACAGAAAGCTATATCGACAAGCTGTATCTGTCCAAATTAGAGAAACAGATATATATGTATATATATGTATATCCATAGTTATATGTCTGCCTGGATCGTATAGATCGTACTATATTTTTTTTGAAGTGTTACAAACCACCAAGTGCTACCAAAAATGCCTTACTACAGCGTTACGCTTTAGTGTCCCAAGTGCTACTTACCGTTATATGCGAGCGACCAGTGTTGGCTAACGACACGCACACACACGCGCGCATCAACAGACAATCAACATTAGCCAACACACGCCACAGTTGTGCTTTATCAAGTGCTGCCGCAACTTCTTCTTCTTCGTCTGCATCTTCTTCCGGCACTTCAGCTGCAATAACAGGTGAGCACTACGACCTAGGTTTATCCTCTCTCTCTCTCTCTCTCCCTTTCTTCCTCTCGTTCCCTCCCTCTCTCACTCTCTCTGTCTCTGTTTATATAGAGTAATGTCTATGTGAGTCTACGTGACTCTACTCACACGCTGGCACATTTATCGCAATGCGTTCGCCCCGCCCGGGTAAATAACAGCCCCCGCCTCCCACTCAGCCGCCTCCCTCTGCCCGAATAGGGGGCAGACCAATCCATCTACTGATTATGATTCGCTTGCGATATGTTTGAGCTTTTGCGGTTGAGGGAAACTCCCCGAGTGCACTGTCCATCCGAGTCGCTCGCAATGCAATTCAATTGCTGAACCCAGCCCCGATTTCATTAGCAACGGGCTCACACTAGCTTAGCGGCCTTAGCACTCGAATGCTGTGAATCCATTTGAATCGTGTCTCTTGTCCATTCTGAAGGCTTAATTGGCATGCAAAGCGCTGTCAGTTAGCGATTCATCAGTCGGCTTTAAGAGCTCAAGTAAGAGGCATTTGAACTGGAATTAGCATATTTCATTACGTGAATCGACATCACAGTATTTGAATCATGTCTTCAGCTAATAATAATCAGAAACTCTAATCAGCGATTGTTTTGGTTCAATTTAGCGAAACATCACAGTACTCGCAGCATCACAGTATTTGGGTCATATCTTTAATTTTGCTCAGAGAATGCTCAATCAGAAATCAGTTTGTTTTCAATTAACCATTCATCACAGTAATCACAGTAGTTGCAGAAATCACAGTATTTGAATCATGTCTACAACTTTTGTTGAATAAGTTATAAAAAGAGAGTAATCCAACCAGAAATCAGTTTGTTTTCAATTAACGATTCATCACAGTAATCACAGTAGTTGCAGAAATCACAGTATTTGAATCATGTCTCCAACTTTTCTTGAACAAGTTACAAAATGTAGTAACTTCAACACGAAATCAATTTGTTTTCTTTGAGTAACTCCCCACAGTAATCACAGTATTTGAATCATGTGTGTGTCTTTGCTGACATAGTTTACGTGCATGCATCCATCTTACATTATTCATCATTTATTGTTAATGTTTTGAAACACTTCACGCTGATTACAGTATTTCCTCTCTCGCTCGCAATCTCCCCAGCCCTCTCCGCAGCTTTTCTATTCTTATTGGCATATACAAATTCCAGTTCGTATTACTCACTTGCCCCACAGATGCTTCCAACTCATCGAAAGTCTTTCGGGAATATTTCACATTGAATATGAATCATGTTGCTGCCGGGCTTCACAGTCCTCACAGATACTCAACTCCAGGCGACACAATTGAATCTAATTGGACTTGAGATTAGTCTCACTCAAGCACAAGCTGAAAGTCCAATTGAAACTGCTGCAAAGCAAAGTCTGCGCAGTCTAATCAGAATCTCGCAGAGCTTTGCTCGCAATAGAGTTGAGCTCTTGCCCGCCGATTCCTGCCGTTCTTAACAAATATATAAATAATAATAATAATACTATAGCTGCTGCATCTGCTTCTTCTTCTTCTTCGTGCACTTGGAATTCTATTTAATATTGCAATCGCGCACAACCGAAATGGGGCCACATGGAAGCTGTTGCTCCATGTTGTTGCATACACTTGTGCCCCTGCCCCTGCCCCTGCTGCTGCTGCTTCTTCTTCTGCCCATTACTCTGCTTTATATATATATATATATAAAGAATCCATTCTTGAAATTCCTTTCATTTTGCATATGGGCCACGCGGAATTTTGCCAATTTCCACTTGCTTCAGCTGCCACTGCTGCTGCTGCTTCTTCATGTGTGTGTGTGTATGGAGCTTGTGGCATAGCCTGTCGCAATTATCAGCGTTCAGTTTGTCTGCGGCTCGTGCCATTGCAAAGGGCACACACACATATACATAGCTAGCCTGGCCTGGTGCTTGCCAACGCAGCACACACACACACACACATATATATATATATATATATATATATACTTATACACATCCATCTATATCTGGTTAACAGGTGTCTTGGCTCTTTGCGCACTTCTTGTTCGTTTTGGCTTTGTCTTTGGCTTTCAGCGCCTCTTGCCCCTGCTTGCCACGCCTCTGTCTCTGCTGTTTTTTTTTTTTTTTTTTTTGGCCAGCAGCTGCACGTCATCTCCCCTGCCGCTGTCTTTATTAATTTATTAAACAATTTTGGTACACTGCGCGAAAAGTGCAACGCATTTTCCTCTGGCCAAAAAGCCACCCCTTTTGCGGGCCTTAGCCACCCCTGCATAGATAAAGTGCAAGCCCAAGTCTATGGCTGCCAGAGGGTTAGTTGCGACGACACAAGAAAAGCAGCAGCAGAAGAAAAGCTGAACGCTGCGCATTTTATCGCCAAAAGATTTATGCGAGCTAATGCGGAAAATGTCAATGGAAAACCCAAAAACCCATTTCTTTTGCTGCTGTCAACATGCGTGCTAAGGGCAGGGCGTGGGCCGGGGGCGCGGGGCAAGCGGGCGAAGCGGCCGCTTTTCGGTTGTTAAGGGTGCTCACATATATGCGCCTAAAAACATAAATTGTGCGAGCATGTGAATCGTACTCAATATAGTTGAGCTGCACACACACTCACACACACACACACACAGGGAAACACACACATGCGTGCGTGCTTGTATATGAATGATTTCCATTGTTGGCAGCTCGCAGCTCGCTAGCTTAAGACCGAGACGCAGTAGTTGCTGTTACTATCAAACACACACACGCACACACACATACTTACACTCGCCTGGTTGTGCGTGTGCGTCTAATGTTCCAAAAACAAAACAAGAAACAAGAAAACTGCGGCGTCACATTGCAGAACCCCTCCTCAGCTGAGGCCAGACCAATCCGTCCACCCGAATTTAGAGTCGCTCGCAATATAAGAATTTTTTTGTAGTTTTTCCCTTGCTGCTTACATAGTATTTTCCATTTTCCATTTTCCTTTTACATGCCCAATTCTAATTCCAATTCCAATTCCGATTCCAATTCAACTTCCATTGCCCCCTTCCAAGCATTTGTCTCTTTAAACTTGAGGACGACATGTGTTTTATTTCTATGTAAGAAACTTCTTATAAGTGATATACATATATATTTATATATATATATATATATATATATATATGATATATATGTGTACTATATGATATATACATTCCCATAAAGCTAACGCCCAAAATGGCCCTTTGAGTACAGTTAGACATATCTGAAGACGTAGACATACATATATATATATATATATATATATATATATATATATACATACATATTCCCTATGTAAGGCATGTAGTGCGCATTAATGAGTGCCCATCCCCTGCCCCCTTTGCGACCCCTCGCCCTACGCCCATGCGACTGTAGTTGGCCTGAAGTTTACAGCCTTGACAGGCGCGCAATTTGACGAGTCGAAGCCGACCAAACAGAACATTTCGCTCTTTGCGCCAGTGTTGCCACCCGTCGAAAAGTATCGTAAAACATGTAGTAAAAACTTTTTGCCAACACAGCATAGCCGACTGCTAAATACCCTGGTAGTGACAATAATAAATTTAAGGGCAATGACAATGACAATGACAATGACAATGACAATGACAATGACAATGACAATGACAATGACAATGACAATGACAATGACAATGACAATGACAATGACAATGACAATGACAATGACAATGACAATGACAATGACAATGACAATGACAATGACAATGACAATGACAATGACAATGACAATGACAATGACAATGACAATGACAATGACAATGACAATGACAATGACAATGACAATGACAAGACAATGACAATGACAATGACAATGACAATGACAATGACAATGACATGACAATGACAATGACAATGACAATGACAATGACAATGACAATGACAATGACAATGACATGACAATGACAATGACATGACAATGACAATGACAATGACAATGACAATGACAATGACAATGACAATGACAATGACAATGACAATGACAATGACAATGACAATGACAATGACAATGACAATGACAATGACAATGACAATGACAATGACAATGACAATGACAATGACAATGCAAGCCAATATACCCGTCTGCACTTCAAGCACAAGACACAACTGTACGCAGCATCGCTTAGGAGACACATCTTATTTCCATTCAGCATTTGGACAGCATTTCGTATTCAGATATTCATATTCATATATCCACATATTCATCCATATATCTCTCCATAGTTCCTTGGTTCGGGGCCTGTCAAAAGTTTCGTACGACACAAAACTGTCAAACTTTATGAAGGCGCATTTTCGAATGTATTTTCGACGCTCGACGAGCCCGAGCCACGCATCGTTGTCAGTGGTTTTTTCCTTACGGCATTTCGGCTTCTCGGCTCTCAGTATTTGTGGCGCAATGAAATTGTCAACGAGCTGCCAACTAAATAAACTAATAAATAAATAAAAACGGATCTGTCGAGCAATGCAGATGCTCAATGTAAGCAGAAACTAAAAGTAAAAAGTAAACTAAGAGCGAGAGTAGCCAAGCGCCGGATATTAACACCATTCACTGTCTTATCGACATGAATGAGCGTCTCTGTGTCTGTACAGTGAACACCAGCTAAAGGCAAGGAGCACTTCTCAAGCCTACGCTGCGAACCATTGGCACTGCCTGGTGCAGCTAATGCGTTTCTTAATGATATTGTTTAAGGGGCAAATTCTGTGGGAATAATAATAATGATCATAATGGAAATAATAAAAACAGAACAATAATAATGATAATACTAATGATGATGTTAATGATAGTACCAATGATAATGCTAATAATAATATTGATAATAATTCTAATGATAATGCCAATGATAATACTAATGACAATACTAATGGTAATGCTAATGATAATACCAATGATAATGCTAATGATAATACTGATGATAATGCTAATGATAATACTAATGCCAATGATAATACTAATGATAATACTAATGCTAATACCAAAGACATATGATATGATA